AATGGAGGAGAACTTGGGAAGGCGGGGAGAGAGGGTGGGGGCTGCGCTGCGTCCACTGCACACAAGGACCAGGAAGCCCATGGGTGAGAAGTGCTCGTGGACCCGGCTGTTAGGAGGTCATGGTGGTAGAAGAAAGGGCAGCCTGAGCAAATTGCTGGTGGGAGCGCCAGCCCTGCGGTGGGCAGGAGTAAGCAGGTGGCCGCAGCCTAGATACAGGCTCTCAGGGGCGGCCTGGCCTGGACGCAGAGCTGCTGCTTGGGCCCAAATAGCAGGGTTCTGGCTCCAGGATGCCTCAGTGGGATGCTGGCCAGCCCGCTCTCTGAAAAAATGAGCAGAAGCAAAATGTGTTGCTGCTTTCCCTGGTGTAAATGTTCCCATCCTGGCCGGTGTTAAACTACCCGGGGTTTCTGGTCAGCGGAATTCCTGGCACTTTGGCAGCTGGCTCTCCCGAGCTGGCAAACGCTGGCCCTGCACACCCCTGGCCAATGTATAAGGGACACAGGGCTCTGGTCTCAGAGTCGAAGCTGGGGGATTGGCGGGGAAGAAGGGAAGACGGTGTACTGTTTACTCTTCCCAAAAGCTTGGAATGAAACCAGTGTCAGTGTGTACCCAAACAGAAGATGAATTTGGACAAGTGCTAAATAAAATTTGCTAATTTGGGGAGTTGCCTTTTTCCTGGCCTCAGACTTTCTCACTAGGGGAGGTGTGGTAAGCTGTCTCTGGCAAGCCTCCCATTGAGGGTAGAGTTGTGTGTGTTTTTGGCTTTTTGAGACAAGGTCTTACTCTGTCGCCTAGGCTGGAGTGCAGTGGCGTGATCACAGCTCACTGCAGCCTCGTCCTCCTTGACGCAAATGATCTTCCCACCTCAGCCTCCCAGGTAGCTGGGACCACAGGTGCATGCCACCATACCCAGCTAATTTTTGTATTTTTGGTAGAGACAGGGTTTTGCCATGTTGCCCAAGCTGGTCTCGAGCTCCTGAGCTCAAGTGACCGTGCCCCCTCACCTTATAAAGTGCTATGGTTACAGGGGTGAACCATCATGCCCAGTTGAGGTTAGAGTTTTTAAACCCCCCCCCTTTTTTTTTTGAGATGGCATCTCACTTTGTTGCCCAGACTGGAGTGCAGTGGCATGATCTTGGCTCAGCGCAACCTCTGCCTGCCAGGTTCAAGCAATTTTTCTGCCTCAGCATCCCGAGTAGCTGGGACTATAGGCACGTGTTACCATGCTCGGCTAATTTTTATATTTTTAGTAGAGACGGGGTTTCACCATGTTGGCCAGGCTGGTCTCAAACTCCTGACCTCGTGATCTGCCCACTTTGGCCTCCCAAAGTGCTAGGATTACAGGCCATGAGCCACCATACCTGGCTCCTTAAAACCCATTTTTAAAGCCTGCCTCTCCCAGCTTGCAACCTAGGGGTCCCCTGTTCTGCTCTGTGCTTAGCAGGTGTTTGGGGCAGGGGTGGGTAGGGGGTGGCTGAGCTTATCCTGCCCCGAGAGAAAAGAATCCTGAACGAGATGACTTCTGTACTTGGAGGCTATGGGTGCTCCCTAGCCACGTGCTGTCTCTGTCAGTGTCCTTGCCTAGCACGTAATAGCAAACCCGTGTGCAAAGGTGAACTGCGGCAGGATGGGAAAGCGGTTGCGTGGCGTTTCCCTGCCCTTTGACGCCTGTTTCTTCCTCCCATGAGGTGGACGCCCGCAACATTGATGGCAGCACCCCGCTCTGTGATGCCTGCGCCTCGGGCAGCATCGAGTGTGTGAAGCTCCTGCTGTCCTACGGGGCCAAGGTCAACCCTCCCCTGTACACAGCGTCCCCGCTGCATGAGGCCTGCATGAGCGGTGAGTTGGCAGATGGCTGGGCTGGCCCAGCTGGGCCCTGGAAGTTTCTTCCTTTCCAGGATTAAAGGACTTTGGGAGTGAAGCAGAGTGGATGGAATTGGGAGCCCTTGGCCGGTGAAGGAGAGTTCCGAGTCTGTTTCTGGCTCCTGGTGACTCAGCTGTGGCGATTCTAAGCTTGAGGTCTTCATCCAGGGCTGGGTGGGTGACTCTATGGTAGGATTCTGAGGCCAAGCCTGGGCTCCTCGGGCCCTTCCACGTTAGCACCAAGGCCTGGGGGACTTGGCAGAGGCTCACCTGGGCTTTGCTGTAGGTTGCGCTGCAGGCCCCTGGTTGACATGGGAGATGACGGAGCAGCGTGTCCCGACAGCCTGGGCCAGGAGGCTGTGCGCAGCACTGCCAAAGCAGAGTGCTGGCCCCGCAGGCTCAGGGCGCAGGTGGGACCTCAGCTGCTCTCCAAGAACGGGCAGATGGCAGAGGCTGGGAAGATCAGAGGGGACCGTGAGCGTGGGAAACAGTCCTTGTCCTGTCTTACTGCATCAGGAGCTCCCAGTGGAGTGGAGTGGATAGGACTGGAATTTAGGGTGAGACCAGCTGGTGGGACAATGTTTAAATGACAGAGTAAGGAGTTTGGATTCTAGTCTTGTGGGCAAAGGTTGCAAACTGTGGCTTGTATCATGACTGGCCAGCATGGCCTTTGTCTTTGGATGCACGTCTGGGGTGCGGGGTTTGGGGTGTGTGCCCTTCCATAGTGCTGGCAGAGCCACGGCTGTCTGTGGTTCACAGATATGTAAACTACGGGGTAGGTTTACCCCCTACTTTGGAGTATTTTCATACATGAAAAGACTACAGCTCCAGGGAGCTCTTGAAGGTTTCTGAGCAGATGTTGAGGGTCAGGAAAACAGAATTTGGGGGAGCTTCATTTAATGGCCCTCCATGTGCAGATAGACGGAGGTGGCGATGGTGGTTGGGGTCTCCTGGAAGCAGAGGGGTGACCTGGGACCATCGCAGGGGTCAAGGTGCCCAGTGCTCAGAGTAGGCTGGTGGAGTGGGATGGGTTCATTTAGAAGGCTTGGGAGAGGAATCCATAGGATTTGGTACAAAGAGGAGGCTTGAGAGGTCAGAAGTGAGTCAGGTTTGAGCTAGGAGTGGAGACCCCAGGAAGGGAGAGGGCTCTGGATGGGAGACAGTGGCTGGCGGCCAGCACATGGCTGTGGGGAATTGATACATGCTGTATCAATTTCTGTACCTAGAAAAGGAACAAATTTTTTTGTTTTTTTTTTCCTTCCATTGCTTAAAACAAAACAAAACAACAACCAAAAAACACAGCCGAACCTAGATCATTCATCTGCTAGGATCTAATCTGAGCTTGAAAAAAAAATTCAGAAAAATCAACTTCTTCCACCACATCATTTGTGCCATCTGCAGTGTTAGGATCATCCTGGAAACTTCAAGAAAAAAAGTATAGTCCTCCCTCAGGTACCATTTGCAGAAGTCACTCATCTGTCGATTCCTGATGTTGCTGGTTTTAGCAAGATAAGACTCCTAATCCATCCACTGAATGTTACTCTGCCAGAGATGAAATAGCTTTAATGCCAACAAAGATTACTGTGATGTTAGACTGGAGAAGATTGTGTTGTTGGGACTACAGCATCCCCAGGAATACTTGCCATCTTGTATAAATGCTATATTGAAGCCAAACATTGACTCTGCCTCTCATTCTATTCAGAAATCTAAGGGCAGAACAATCATATTTGTGTGCTTAACTCTGATAAAAGGACTTCATTCCCATTATAAACTATGGTGATTTTCTTTCAACTAGCCTTTTCCGCATATAAATAATATATTTAGTTGTTCCTTAGATGCTATCAATTGTAAAATTCACTATCCATCAGCTTTTTTCAATGTAGCTCTGCAGAAGAAAAACTACATTAAACATAAAAATCAATGTAAGAAGTGCACTAGTGTCAGAAAATATTTTAATGTATAAAATATACATTGTAGAATTGAGCTGTATTGTATATATATCTGTATCTATCTACACACATACGTGTATATATGTAATGTCACAGATTAAAAAAAAAAATTACTAGAGGATACAGCGGCCAGCACATGGCTGTGGGCTGGTGGGGAAAATCGGGGAGCTGCCAGCAGTGAAGAGGTAATTCAGTGACTGGAGAGGTTGGAGCCTGGACAGACTGCACAGGGCCAGGAGGGCGGAGGAACCGCAATCCAAATCCACATTACAGATCCAGGAAGGGGAGCGCCGAAGGGGCAGGAGAGGCCGGGCACCGTGGCTCATGCCTTTGATAATCCCAGCACTTTGGGAGGCTGAGGAGGGTGGATCACCTGAGGTCACGAGTTCAAGACCAGCCTGGCCAACAAGGTGAAACCCCGTCTCTGCTAAAAATACAAAAAAAATTAGCCAGGCATGGTGGCACATGCCTGTAATCCCAGCTATTTGGGAGACTGAGTTGGGAGAATTGCTTGAACCCAGGAGGTGGAGGTTGCAGTGAGCTGAGATCGTGCCATTACACTTCAGCCTGGGCGACAGAGCGAGACTTTGTCTAAAAAAAGAGAAGCAGGAGAGGTGGCTGCCATGGGGCACAGGAGGATGACCTGCCTAAGAAAGTCTGGGGGGTTTCCTGGGAGGCTGGGCTCAGTGCCGGCAGCCGTGGGTAGACACAGGGTGGTGGGGGGCAGCAGGAGAGTCTTCCCTGGCCCATTCTAGGTGGTGCCTCAGGCCTTCTGTTCTCACAGCAAGAGGCCAGCCAGGCCTGTTTCTCCCACTGCCAGGTGGGCCATGAGCCCTCCCCTCCTCAGGGGCACGCAGAGCTGTGTCCTGGCTTCCCCAGGGCAGGCCGTGCGGGGCATGAACGCCTCCTTAGGTCGGGACGAGGGCTGCCTGGCTTCTCTGCCCTGCGCCGGGGATGGAGGCCTGCTGCAGCTGCCGCGTCTGTTGTGCTTGTAGTCTCCAGCATCCATATTCATGGGCATGTCCTGCCTTTTCCATTTGTCTCAAGGGAGTTCCGAATGCGTGAGGCTTCTTATTGACGTCGGGGCCAATCTGGAAGCACATGACTGCCATTTTGGGACCCCTCTGCACGTGGCCTGTGCCCGGGAGCATCTGGACTGTGTCAAAATGCTACTAAAAGCAGGTGCGTGGGTGTTTGCCTGAGCGGGTGTTTACCTACGGAGTGCATATTTACAGATTTATCTGAGAATTTTGCCTGAATGGGTATACACTAGCAAGGCTGTTCACCTGAGCAGGTGTTTCCTTGCAAGAGTATTTACCTGAGTGGGTGTTTACCTATGGAGTGCATATTTACAGATTTATCTGAGAAGTTTGCCTGAATGGGTATACACTAGCAAGGCTGTTCACTGAGCAGGTGTTTCCTTGCAAGAGTATTTACCTGAGTGGGTATTTACCTACGGAGTGCATATTTACAGATTTATCTGAGAAGTTTGCCTGAATGGGGATACACTAGCAAGGCTGTTCACCTGAGCAGGTGTTTCCTTGCAAGCGTATTTACCTGGGCGGGCATTTACCTGGGCAGGTTTTTACCTGCACTGTGCCTGGCAGAGAGCTGGGTAGAGGAGTCAGAGGCACCAAGGTTAGAGGCTGGCTCTCCCGCTTGCCAGCTGAGACCTCAGGCCTCAGTTTACAGATTTGAGGACTGGAAGAATCTGTGCTGCAGGTGGCTGGGAGGACTGGGATATTTCCTGGTGCCTGGTGTGTCCTAGTAGGTACACAACAAATGCCAGTGACTACTTCTAGAGATCACAGCCTGCTGTCCCCACAGCTGCCTGGTGAGGTTGCTGCCTGAATCCAAGAGAGAAGGGGGTGCAATGGGAAGTGGAGTCAGCAGCGTTTAGGAGAATGGAGTGTTTGGAATCCAGGCCATTGTCAGGTGTTCAAAAAAGACTCGGGATTGAGATTCCCAAGGAGGGAAAAAAAAAAATCAAAACTAAAAAGACCCAACCAACTGAGGAGCAGGTTCAGGACCTATCTATAGCAGAAGTTTTCAAATGTAGCCAAAGTGACTGTTGGCACAGGGTTTTTTTTTTTTCCATTAACCCAACTTAAATGTTTTGTTGAGGGAAAATTTTGGTTTCATCATCTCATCCGTCCAAATTCTGGGTGCAGTGTAGAGTAAAACAAAAGTGCTCAGGATGGCTGGGCACGGCGGCTCATAGCTGTGGTCTCAGCACCTTGGGAGGCTGAGGAGGGAGGATTGCTTGAGTCCAGGAGTTTGAAGCCGCCTGGGCCACATAGCAAGACCCCACCTCTAACAACAACAACAACAACAAAACACCTGTTAAGGATAGGAAGATCATGAATCCACCCCCGCCCAATGACAGCCATTTGAGCTTAGTTTTATATAGTTTTTTTTTTTTTTTGAGATAGGATCTTGCACTGTCACCCAGGCTGGAGTGCAGTGATGCGATCTCGGCTCACTGCAACCTTCGCTTCCTGGGTTCAAGCAATTCTCCTGCCTCAGCCTCTTCAGTAGCTGGGACTGTAGGCACCCACCACCACACCCAGCTAATTTTCTTTGTATTTTTAGTAGAGACGGAGTTTCACCATGTCGGTCAGGATGGTCTTAATCTCCTGACCTCATGATCCACCCGCCTCGGCCTCCCAAAGTGCTGGGATTACAGGCGTGACCCACCGCACCCGGCCCTATATGTAGTTTTCTATTGGAGAGCCTTATTTGCTTTCATGTGCCACTTTTAAGTCTTTTTGTGGAAAAGATTCATTTTGTGTAAGAATAATTGTTAGGGTATTTTAAATTTTTTATACGCTGCCTTAAAAATGTCTCCATTGGAAGCAGACGTCCGTGTGTCCAGTCGAGCTTCTCCTGACAGCTGGATCCATTTCTGTCAACACAGGGCAGTGATTCCTGTCAAGCCTTTGTGAGCTCGGTACACGTTGGTTCCGTTTTTACCTTGGTTCCTTTTGGTGTGGTTGCTGGGAAAAAAATCAACTTAGTGTTTAAAGCAAACATCCTTTCTGGATCAGGTAGGACTTCATATCAGTTGTGATGCCTTTGCGGTAAGAGGAAGCCACTTCCACCTGGTAAACAGTGGCAGGCATTTCTAGTTCAGGGGGCTTCAGGGATGAGATGCAGAGCAGTTTAGGGGTGGCTGGACTAGAGGTTCTGTGGTGTCACTCAGGCCTCAGTTTCTTTGATTTTTGCAATTCTGCTTTCCTCAGGGTTGGCTTTATCCTAAGCCTCTGGCTTCCCTGAGAAAGGTCATGGGGGCTACAGTGGCTTCAGGCCTGCACGCCAGACGTTTCCTGTGTTAAGCTTTCTGGGGACTCTTTCAGAAGAGTGGAAAATCCCTTTTCACACACCCCTCTCCAGTCCTGGTGCCCAAACGTCGCCAAATTTTGATGGGCTGAAGCCTGGGTCATTAGAACCGATGAGCGTGGTCAGGGGAGAGGGATTGGAGCAGGCGGGGCCCACGTTGGGGCTGAGGCCAGGTCTGCTCCTGCGTCTGCCACGTGACCAGGAAAGGGAGGGGCAGCTGTGATGCCCACTGTCACCCTGAAGCAGGGTTCCTGCGGCTCTCCCGGGAGTTCGCATGCCCCTGGGGAGTTAGATGAATACGGCTTTCTTGGGGAAGCCTCCCCACTGTGATTGTTGCGGTCAACTCGATGCTGTGGGTAGCGTCCAGCCATCAGCTCCACGTGGGATTCCTGATTCTCACCCTCCTCTCGGGTGGTCTCCTCTAACACCCCGTGTAAGAGCAGATGGATAATCATCTTTTCCTTAGGAACCATTTCTTCACTGTGGAAGATTTCAAACATGCAGAGAAGAAAAGAGAAACAGCAGCATGCCCCATGTCCTCACACACAGATGCTTTAAGAAGCAGTGATTCTGAACTTTTGGGGTCAGATCATAGATCCTTGGGGAAAGCCAAGGACCGTGTCTTTAGAGAAACAGAAGAGTGGAAAATCTCTTTTCCCGAACCCTCCAAGTCCCCTTGCCCAAACTTTGCCAAATTCTGATTGACTCAAGCCTGTGTCATTTGAACCAGTTACTGTGGAGAGGGGGAGGGACTGCACCAGTCAGGGCCACATGATTGCAGGTGCTTTTGTGTGCAGTTTGAGAGCTGAGCTGTGAGGCAGCCACGTTGCACCCCATGTGGGACGTGGAGATGGTGGTTCTGGCTCTTTGTAGGTGGTGAGGCGAGTCCAGGAACCAGACTGTATTTGCAGAGGAGGCGGGGGGTGGGGGAGGGTGAAAGTCCGGTTATTATGGTGAGGTAATTTTTAATCTGATCGCTGACAGTGAATATTTAACTCTGCCAGGAGTGTTCAGAAGTGGCTCCTAAGGACGGTCATGCCTCCACTTTCATTCTCAGCACTGACCCTGGCACAATTTAAAAATTTTTTTTAAATTGTTTAATTTTTAAAAATTTTTGTTTTTTAAAAAATTTTAATTAATTAAAAAAATTTTTTTCTAGTTTCAACAAGCACATATTGGGCTATTTGTGCTGATGTTCCAGGACTGCGCCAGCCTGGGTGTGCCAAGGTCTTAGAAGGTCCCTTCAGTGCTGGCCACGGGTTCTGCAATCCACTGTAATCCTATTTTGCGTTGAAAGCAGGATTTTGGTAATGAGCCTGTGTTGACCCCTTTTCTCTGAAGGATGAAGTTCAGAGTATGTAATTCCCTGGTTGTTTCCTGGCTCCCCATCTTTGTCTCTCTGTCTGTCTGTCTCTGTCTCTGTCTCTGTCTGAGTCTTTCTCAAGCCTCTCAGTTCAAGGTATGTCGCCATCCTCGCTTCACACAAAGCCGCTTTCTTTCCTTCTCCTACCCTCCTTCTTTTTCTCTCTTCCTTCTCTTTCCTCTGTATCTGTTCCCCTCTTTTTTTTTTTTGACACAGAGTTTTGCTCTGTCACCCAGGCTGGAGTGCAGTGACACCATCTCGGCTCACTACAACCTCCGCCTCCTGGGTTCAAGTGATTCTGGTGCCTCAGCCTCCCAAGTAGCTGGGATTACAGGCATGAGCCACCGTGCCTGGCTAATTTTTGCATTTTTAGTGGAGATGAGGTTTCACCGTGTTGGCCAGGCTAGTCTTGAACTCCTGACCTCAGGTGATGCGCCTGGCTGGGCCTCCCACAGTGCTGGGATTACCGGCATGAGCCACTGCGCTGAGGCGTGTATTTTTAATGCACATAGCTGATGGGCTTTCCTCGCTCACTCTCTTCTTGGCTCACGTGGTGCTATACTTTCAGGGTCTATCCATGCTGCTGTGTGCACTCCGGCCTGCTGTTTCACTTCAATTCTTTATTCACAATTTCATTTCCTTTCTTGTTCACCTTCCTTCCCTTCCACCCAGTCAAATGATGTCAAGCACACATTTTGAAAAGCTGTGCATTGGGAAGGCTGCCTCTCTGCAAGAGCCCCTGGCCAAGGCCTCATCTGTGGAGCGCGGCAGGGACTGTGATTTTTAGAGCTCTTTTCAGCCATGTTTCCCCCTGACGGTGAGGGAGTAGCTGTGCCTCCCTTGGGACTCTTTCTTTTTTTTCTTTTGTAAAAATAGAGATCATCACTTTCTCACCCAGTTGGCAAGAATATTACCAGAATTAATGACATGAGAGAAAGCTACTTGAACTTTAGATTCTGTGGATGGTACAATTTGTTTTTCATTACAAGTGTATGCTTAGTGTTAAGATTTACTTCTTTCATGATTGCAACATTATACTGGAGGAAAACCCCTTATGTGAAAGAGAGGATGAACTGTGGGGAAAATATTTTTTAATCTATTGCTTTTAAATATTATTTTTTTGTAGTACATTTCTGCCAAATTCAGGACCTAGGTAATTTAGCGTTTTTCCTAATTGAGAGATCCTTTTTCTGGCGTGTGCTGTGTCCCGCGCTGCACAAGTGTTCAAAGACGGAAGAGGGAATGGCAGGGGATAAAGACAGACATACAGACAGAGACATATAAAGCTGGACCAGGTGGTCCGAAAGCTGATGGCCTCAGTCTCTTCGGCCCCCACCTGCCTCAAAGTACTTTATCTTATATGTTTACAAAGCACATCGCAGAGGGAGGGTGCAGTTACTTAGAACAGCTTGTGGTTATAGTTCTCACACTTCAGTTAACATGCTTCAGCTAACAGCTATCTTGCAGCAAGGTCAGTGAGAGCTGGTTATCTTTTTCTAGGCCTCTCTGCTCTTCTCTGAGACACACACATTCCCCTAGGATGGTTTCACTACTCTGGAGTTCACCCGAAGTTCACAGCAGCCTTGCTGCTGATTCCCCCAGAGGAGGTGGGCTTCTCTGGCTCCCTGCACCTTTTCCTGGCCAGACTTGAGTTTTGGCTGTGGGAAGCGGAAAGAACTTTCTTCACTTCTGTCATCACTTTGGAGAGCTGGGACAGTCGGAGTTTTGTTCTTTTTTGCCCAGGCTGGAGTGTAGTAGCACAATCTCAGCTCACTGTAACCTCCACCTCCCCGGTTTAAGCGATTCTCCTGCCTCAGCCTCCTGAGTAGCTGGGATTACAGGCGCCCGCCACCACGTCCAGCTAATTTTTATATTTTTAGTAGAGACACAGTTTCATTGTGTTGGTCAGGCTGGTCTTGAACTCCTGACCTTGTGATCCGCCCATCTCAGCCTCCCAAAGTGCTGAGATTACAGGCATGAGCCACTGCGCCCGGCTGGGCTGGGGCATTCTTAGGATCATGGCATGAATGCTGTTATGCGCATGGTTCTTATGTGCTTTTAGGGAATTAAAACATTTTAAAACAGAAAGCAGGATTTTTCGGATACTTTTTGAGCACAGGAACTAGAAAATGTAGCTTTCCACTCTTCAACTACTCTTCTGACCCTATGAAATTGTCGATAAGTGATGGCATGCTGGTGGTCTGTTCATTGTAAAATCCCACTTTTGATAATATTTTATGGTTGTGGTTTGAATCTGTTATTTGGCAGATTATTTTACTGATGCTGGGCGATTTGCTTGGCTTCTTTAAAATACTTCTTACTCATTTTATCTTATAACCTCCTTTGTTACTGAGGAACAGACTTCGAAGAGAATGGCATTTTCTTCCAAAAGAATTCTGAAGCCCTGGGAGAGTCTATTATATAGGATTAATGATGGCTGTGC